TGAAAGAACTTTCAGTTGAAATCTCAAAATCCAAATTTCCAAATTAAATAATCGCAAATTTTTATACTGGAAATTATACATCTTTCAAGCAAGGTTCTTTTCCTCAGCAACAATCACATGTAAAGTGCAAAAGTGCATCAAATATGGATGCATGTCAATGGCTAAAGGGCAAAACTACGTATCTTGGTTTGCAACGTAGCAGGCTTCCTGTCATACTTCACTTTTTAAATGGAAAACTACTTGTCAGCGGCAATTCTCAAAAACTGCTGATTTACCCTCTCTCTGCAAAGAAAATTCTGCTAAAACTCCAAGGAATTATGTTGATATGTTCTTCTTAAAAAATAAATAAAAGCAACTTACACCATCAATATCTCGCGATGGTGGTATTTGCGATGGTGCAGACTTGCTGACATGCTTTATTTTCTCTTTGCAAAGCTAGTTACTTTAAAAACTTCCTTAATTTTCCTTCTCCATTGGCAGAATAGTCTATACGGATTTCAAGCTGTAAAGTTGGCTTCTTACACTACCAAAAAATAAAATAGAGGCCAAAATTATAGGGCATCGCAATGGAAATACGTGGTTCCGCACTTTGGCCATCGATGTGGACAAAAGAAGTCTACATGCATTGATAACTTGGAAAAAAGACATGTAGGCATGTACTAAACATGGATGCATGCATGGTGTGTTGGTTGTACTGGGTGGTTGCGATGGACAAAAGCGTAGGTAAATAATAGACAGACTAGAGCTCGTGCATCGTACGTTGAGACAAATGTCAATCTCTGATTAGTTCTGAGGACCCACCACTCAACAAATTAATACATGCGGTCAGATGGCACCACTGATGAGTGGTGACCTAAAGAATTCTTTGACGTTTGTCTCAACATACGATGTGCGAGCTCTAGCAGCAACATGTGAGAGACCCTACGGTTAATACATCGTTTCCTTCTTTTGACTATAAAAATCAACTGTTGTAACCTTAAGGATCATTCCATTTCTACATTGGCTTCTTGGTGTATCACTTGATATATTAAAATCAATAATCAGCCTGCAGTAGCAATTTGCGGAACTACGAGCTAATATCTCCATCATAAATTTATAAATGTAATGAGACTTCTATTGCAAAAATGTATCCACTTGATCCAAAAATGTGTTTGGTGCCAAAGCATCTGAACATGGTTACCATTAATAACTTACGGTGAAAAAATGAGAGATTCCACTTAAAAGTTGACAAAGACACCCTGCGATGCACCTGTTCAGTCCCAACGAAGTAAGTACAAACATGTACAATATACGGATGAATCTGGTTATAAAACTGACATTGAGGTTTCCTACTGAGGTATACGGTCAATGGACTGTTCGAGGAGAGATGAGTAACTTTTAGGGTGCTCGTAAAAACTTCCCTCTGGAAAATCAAAGGGTTGGGAGGCGAGAATGAACCTGTCCACTGAGTGCTGCTGAAGCAAAAGCAGAAAGTACTGGAGAGAAAGGATTCAGAACTGAGGAGGTTTAGAAATGGAGTCGCGGTCTTGAAATTCGCAGTAAAGCACGGGATCTAATTACAAATCGCAGGAGAAAATGCTGAGGTTTGCGGAAAGGAACTTAGTCCATGCCGTACATCAACAGGTTGTTGTTAGGTCCATTGTTTACGCATAGCGCCATGAGGGACCGCCGCATTGTCAGGGTAAACACACTGATAATATAGCATATAAAGCTTACCATACGAGTTTCCAAGTGTGCCTGAACTGCTATCTCCGTGAAAAAGCCACAATCACACAATAAAACACTTAATTTTTGACACTTTTCACTGAATTTAAGCAAATTTATCACGCTAAAAGCCTTCCGCACATTGAAGGTCCCCGTTGTTTGTTGCCAGGCACGTTACCAACGTAACAAGTTCCGCGACCAGCGAAGGATGCTCGTTTAAAGTTTGAATTTTAAAGAACTGGCGGGAAGGCAAAGTGGAATTTTTCCAGATTATAATTTTTAGGTTTTTGAAATGTCTTTTGAAAGACCATCTGGGTTTTCTAGTCAAAAATACGCTGGAAAACAAATTTGGAGTTGTTTTGTGAGAGTTGGACAACTTGTAGAGAGTTTGGTGTTTCCACCGCGAGGGTGCGTTTTTGGAGGGAAATTTGATTCCTCACAGGATTTGAGTTCGACAACCAGAGTTGCAAATTGAAATTACACACTTAGAGAGCATTAGAATTTCACGGGACAATGAAGTATTTCAAAAATATGAAATTTATTTTTGGCGGCTGGATTCACAACCCACACTCAAATGATTCAATTCAAATGTTTTCATGTGATGCATAGAGCACCCAATTCGTACTAATAAAAAAACAAATCAAGTTGACAAATTATTACTTACTTATAAATAAAAAAATGTTGAAAAACTCGGTTTTCCCATGGTTGAAATACTCAGTGAGAGTGTCGAACTTGTAAAAGACTGGATTTGCTATAGCCTGAGGTGCAAAATTTTTTAAACTTCATTCCATAAATAGGAGCCTACATATTATCAAGTGTCTATGTTGTGCTTGACAAATGTTCTTCCCTCGCCTGTCATAAGTTTTTCCATTACTCTTGCAAAGGCACAAAGCAAAGAATGGATTAATAACTGTTGATTGGTATGTCCAGCAATTTTATAATCAATCCATTAGAGGCACAGCACGCAGTTTAGCGACTCTTGTTGTAGCAAGCAGACAATGACCAATTCATGTGCCATTCATTTTGAGGAAATCGCTGTCTCCTAATTGTACAATTTGGCAGCAAGGAGACTGTGCAGCATACTTGGATTGCATTTTGCAAAAAGGAACCAAGAGCATTCCAATGTCGCTAAGATTGTGTAACTTTTTTTGCCTTGCAAATATTTTCAGATTATCTAAACTAACTTTATCTTTACTCCCAATAGACAATACCTTAAAGACGAAGATTACCTTTGCAAATTTAATTTTTTGCATGATTTCAGTAATATTATTGAATGAATAAAAGATGCACGATCTTAGCAACATTAGAGTGCTCTTGGTTCCTTTTTGCAAAATGCAATCCACTTATACTTTCTCAAACAATTAAAAAGGCAAAAAATATTGCCTCCTAGAAAAAAAATATTTTCTTGCTGGAAAATAAATTTCTCATTGCGAAAATTTTTAAAGGAATGAATTATTGTCATTTTCATTTTTATACGGAGACAACTCACCAGACCATTCTCCATTTTTATAATGGATTAAGGAGTGCAATTGGGTAATTGCATATTAACATGAGTAAAATAGCATAAACAAGTAATTAATCCAAAATAAACATTCATATATTTTTTCAAAATGTTTCTCCACTAATAATAACAATAACAAAACACGATCTGGACTACATTCTGCGATCAGATACTAGTATTTCTGGCTCATCTGTAAAAACACCTATGTGTATAGAAAAACTGATGGCACTTACTAACATTGTTCCTAAAGAGAGGTAAAAACAATAAAATGAACTTTTCCACATTGCCAAATTGCCTCCGATAAGATACTTATTTTTGAAGAAAGTTATGAATATTCTGCCTTCAAATTTGTAGATACTTGAGATTGAACCAAGGACTATGTTCTCTGAAATATTTAAAGAAAATAAATCGTAAGTTTTCCAGAATTTTGTACTTTATTGAGATAAATTTTGCAACGTCTGGAGGCTCATATGGTGTTTTTCCTTTACACAATAGTATAGTTCCTTATTGCAAAATGTGGTCCATTTTGAACGGGTAATCTTCCAAAAACACAGGTAACTGAACAAGACGAAAATTTATAAAAACAATACCGAAAGTTCATAGATTTTGAACTTCTGAAATAGTTTGTATTTCACTGAACCACCGGAGAGGTTCAGAATTTATCCTTTAAAACACACAATTTCTCATCAAATTTCACATGGATCATAATGAGTGTATCCAATACGTTCAATATAAACTCATTAAATGAGAAATAAAAGTTCGTATTTTTCCATGCTCACAAAAAGATGTCCCTCTTTTCTTTAAAGGAAATGAAATGTTTAAATTTAAGTAGAAAATGTAGTTTTCTCCTTAACGTTGTACTTAAAGTAAAAAAAGGAAAATAAATAAATAATTTAAAAAAGGATCTTCAAAAATGATGACTTTCAAAACCAATCGAAGAATCCGACGAAGAAGGAAGAGGAACAAGATTGAAGAAACCGAGTGACCGCAGAATGATCTGGCCAACCCACACTTTCATGCCGCCCCACCTGTTGGCAAAAAAAGAACAAATGAGAACGGCAATTGAAATAAAGTCTTCTATCCCCTTTTTTAAAAGGAAAAAGGCTTATATGTATCCTCCAGAATATGTGTGATAAACTTTTTGGTAGAAAAATGTTTATTCAAAGCTGTTTATTCGTGATGTATAATTCTTTTGGGAGAAAATAATGCTTTCCTTCCTTTTCGGAGCTCACAAGTTACTTGTGCATTTTTTGAAATATAACGGACAATGACCATCCTTGTAGCTATCACTGATAAACAATTGTTGAAGGAGACATAAATTTGAGAGGGTAAAAAAATAATAAATGAAGAATTTTTGAAACGACTTGATAAAGTTACTTATTTTTTTACTTAAGTGTCCGATGAGAATCTACAGAACTTAAAATGTAATTGTAAATGCAAATATCTGAACATTTTAATAGTTGTGCATAATAATGATAAAGCTAGGAAGAAGGCTTTAGCGCAATGCATTTCACTAAATTTCATTATATTGCTGAGGCTTTTCAACACGAGTGTCATCTTTCAGGCATTACATATGTATGTAAAAACTAACAAAAAAGGCGAAAGAGCAAACATATCAAAAAAAGACAGCAGAAAGTACCAAAATAAAATAAAATACATACATATTGGAGGAAATTAATGAATAAAGTTGAACAAAGGCTTACAAACAGTAATCAAATAGCAAATACAGAGCGAGTACAGGCGACAGAGATAAGTTACAGGTTTTTGCAGCTCATCCTATCAGATTCAACATCGCACTCTATCAGTAAATCACCACATTAAGAATACCAGTCAACACACCGAGATTGCGCAGCACTCATCAATTAACATGTTGGTAGGAAAATCTACTTCTGATAGGACGTTCTTTTCCTGATTTCCAGTGATCAATTCCTGATTTTCATAAAAAAATTCTCCAACATCCAATGAAAAATGTCTTCAATTAGACGAAAAAATACTTTAATTTCTAGTGAAAAGTTTCCCTGATGTCGAGGGAAAAGTCCTTTATTTTCAGTGAATTCCTTATTCACAGGATAAAATTTCTAAACTTCCAAGGGGAAAATTATCTGATTTCCGATAAAAAATTTCCCGTTTTCCAGGGAAAAAATTCTCAGATGAAAATCCACTGTGTCCTTTGATGTTCCTTCAGATTTCTTCGGAGTTACACATTTTTCTCTGGATGTCAGAAGAAAAAGAATAAATACTATAATCTTTTGTCTGTATCTTCAAAGTCAAATCCATGCAGAGCGCGGATTCTCAAATTACTAGAATCTTGAAAAAGCGACAGTAGATTTCCAGACCTTAATTTCAATTCTCAGCACTGTTGTTGTCAAGTTTTGCAGTCGAAAATTCCTATTTTACATAGGTTTAAAAGGAGAAAAATTCTTCAGCTATCTCGCATGAATTCCTTGAACGTTTTTAGATATTTATCATTGCTTAGTAAATCCCTAAAATTCCCTCTTCTTAAGGTCCTATAATACATATCTAGATATGGACCAAAATAACTGAAATGAGCCTTACTGATGTAATTTTCGCGCAGCCTAATTTCTTCTCTTGTTTGATTTTTCAAAAGAGAACTAAACTATATGATGCTTGTAAACTTCCTGTGCATTTCACCATATATTAAGAAGAATATAATCACAAAATGTCAAGTTTCAGTGTTGCTTTGTTTTCTTTTTGAAAAATAAAACATCAGAAAAAATTAGGCAAAAATCTGTGTATTTATAGGTGGATTATACAGTAAAAGTTCGTTAAGTCGAATTGTCTGGGGACTAATGAAAAATTCGACTTAAGCGGCAATTCGAGTTATTTATTTCTCCGCTTAACTCGAAATCAGCGTGAAAATCGCAAAAATTCGACTTAAGCGGCAATGCCGCCGCTCTGCAAGTTCTCTCCGGCATGGAGATTGATGCTAATCTGGCAACAAGCGGTATCCTAACAATTTAGGATCTTGTCGAGGCCCATATGGGAGTAAGTGACACCGAAGATGATGGTGAAGAGGATCTAGCCACCCCGACCAAAAACTGATTTCTACAGCAGATGCCCAGTTAGCTGTGGACAATTTGCAAAAATTCTTCTGTCAGTGCAAAGGAGCCGACAGCGCAATAGCCAGTATTCAAAATCTGGAATCTTTGTTCATTTCCGGAATGATAAATCGCCACAAGCGGTTAAAAATTAACGATTTCTTTAAGTGATTTTGTCTTGCGCTTTTTAACTTTTACTCTTAAGTGTCAACGCCAAGCATAAAAAAAATTCAATTTTCGGACATAACAACCAACAGATGTCACTTCTCTACTCCCTTTGTGTATACAGGTACGTAGCAACGAATCTCTTTTCTATATTTCTCCCGTCTATATTGCGCATTTTTTGTGTTTTTCGTTGTGAAAATCCGGATTTTTCAAAAAAAAATTTCGACATAAGCGGCTTTCCACCCGGCTCAAAAATTCGCAAATTCGTCTAAGGCATAGTTTTTTTAACGTTGTTCCATATGCAACGTCGCGGGACCGAAGAAAATTTTGACTTAAGCGGATTTTCGTCTTAATTGTAGTTCGACTTAACGAACTTTTACTGTAGTTAATTTCGTCCACTTAAGAGCAGAGAAACAAGAAAAGTGCATGAAATACAAACCAGAGCCGAAATTCGAAATGTGCTTTTGCCTTGAACGCAAAAAATTTGGACAGGAGACTAGAGTTTTGCGAAATGAAAGCGCCTCGTGTGGCGCAGCGGGCCATGACTTTATACCTGTCGACAGGATTCCCATGACCTTTGGCGATCGAACGGACTGTATTGATGTTCCTGGAAAAATAAGAATAATCGTGATTATTTTGTGGTGAACATTATGTTACTGGATTATTTTTTCCATGAGAGGTGTGAGTAGATGCATACATGCAAGCATTTGGCGATAAACGGACTTCGGCCCACAAAATCTCAAAATTGGACTACGTTTAGCAATTAGGAAATACTATTTTCACATGTTGGTGCCATCAGTATTCCGTGGAAGATGGATGCTTTTAACAGATTTTAAATTTCTAATCCAGCATGTTTGGGACATCAAACTGCCCGATTGATGTGCGATCAGGCTTTTACAAAATCCAAAATTTGCTCTGTAATTAGATCCTTCTAAGGTAAATTTCAGGTGAAATCACAATTTCCTTCATTAAAAAGCTAAATACTGCTCCTTTGGCTACAGAAAGAGGCATAAATTGCCGTTACAAAACAAACGTTTCTCACTGGCCTAAAGCTCATGATGTCATGCAAGGTGACAACCTGTCGTTTCAACCACTTTGAATCCATGGTGAAACATGGCTTCCTACCATCCAAATCACTAGCAAATTATTTCATTTTAAGGAAATGACAAAAATGATCCTTCAAACAAAGAATAATATTACGAGCACGGTTGGGATACACAACCTTTCGTTTCAATTGCGACCTGATAGTGGTTAAACCAATGCGGGAGAGGGTTAATTCCTCTAGTGACACCACAAAATTTATTTATTTATTATCATTTTTTTGGCACAACATTTTTTGCTTTCAGATGAAATTGGATTTTTAGAAACTCTCTGAGTCTTTTTCTCGGCTTAAATATAATTGAATGGAAAAAAGAAAAATGAAAGCGTTCTCACTTTTTACTCACTTGCAGAGAATGCATTTAAAAAAATTGCTCAACAGCCCGATTTTACATGGGCACAATAATATTTAATAGAAATAAAATATCTAAGGGAAATTAAAAGTAGAATGTTTATTTTGGGAAAATATTATTTTGAGAAACTTTATACCGAGATGAGACTGTAATTTGAGTAAATTAAACAATCTTGAAATAGAATTATGTTCCTTCATCTGGGAGTAAGTGTTTTCACATCAAAGTATTTTGCGACAGATCATCATGGATTGAGTCATGTATATACACATTACCTAGTTACTAGCATCAGTTTGCTTGGCATTGCTCGGAAAATTTCAAAGGAATCTTCGTGGATGGCCTCGATTGCTTTGTACAATTTCGTCTTTTCTTCGGAATTCATAGTTTTCATCGTTTGTTTCAGTTCCTTCACGCCTTCGCGGGAGAAAAATAAGGCATAAATATCGTCAAATTTGTTCTCACATTTTTCCGCGGGTTCGATGTATCGCTGGCCGAGGGCTATACAAAAAAGACGATAGTTGTTTTCTGGAAAAAAGGAAACCAAGAAATTAATTGGGCACTTAAAACTAGAATAGAGTCAAACTAGGGAAAAGGTCAGATACATTCAGAGCAAAAGTCTACTTGGGCCTGGGAATTCAATCATGTCATTCTGACCGAAAATGGATGGTAGAAATCGCGAAAAACATAAAATGTTTGTGCCATTAGGAAGATCAAACATTCCTTGTAATGTAAAAATTGATACCTAATCAAATTATGATTTTTTTCTTTTCTTTAATTGAGACCTTCCGAGGGGAAAATTATTTATCATCAATTAATTGCTAATCATTTTAATTGAAGGCAATTGTTTCTTGAGAGGGAGATAGTTTGGTTCAAGTTCGGTCAAAAAATTGAGCTACATTTGAATCCAGTCATGCAGAAAGGGCAGAAATTAAAAAACTTAGAAGCCCTGGCTTTGTTGTTAATTGTCTAGCATGGCTCCTTGGTATACAGACTTTTCCCCTTTTTGTTTTTGCAACATAACTGACACTTTTATTTGAAAAAAAGTGACATGCTTGTTGAGAAACGGGCTGAGTAACGGTTTTTTTCTTAGAAAAAAAGGGCGCAACAGAAATTCTGTTGGAACAAAAAGGGTATAATGTATCAATTTGTTGCAAAACTAGCATGAGTTTCATTTAAAAAATTATGTACCTTCAATTCCTAACTGCGCAGAGTACGTTTTCATACCATTATGGTCACTGAGAACAATAGATTTCCACAAATTGCACAATGACTTTCTCGTTTCTTCAGGTACATTAACATACAGTCCATGATCCAGGAGTACCAACTGGGCTTTGTGATCGCGACCTTTTCTGACTAGAACTGGAGAGAAAAACCCAGATAGTTGAGTTAAAAATATCCCCACTTAAATAGTTGAAAAAAATAAAACAGGGTGACCACAGAATTTTGATAAATGAAATTCCCAGATTTTCATGTCACATCCAAGTAAAATTCTCTGAGAATTGAAGATATGCCGGATGGTTAAGCAGACATAACTTGAAACAGTTTTTATGCAAAATCTGAAGTTCGAAACGTCCGACACATCCTAGGCAGCAAACAAAGGCGACTTAAAAATTTCTCCCTGACATTTTGAGGTTTTCCCTGGCAACTCTGTAAGAAGGGACCTCATCCTCTAGGAGAAAATGTTACTTTGCTTTTATGTCAACACTTAACCACGTTTTTTTGCAACCTAAAAATTGGTGTCTTGGAACTCATGACTCATATCGCCTTTAATTTTTGAGATTCTAGGGTCAAACTGACGCCAAAATTTCTGGATTTTTTTTGATGTCCTAGTAAAAAGTTGGGGAAAACTTCTTCCCTTGAGATAGGGTCCTTTTTCGAAGATCGGTCACCCTTACGTTCTGGAATATCACTCTCTTTCAAGTCATTGGGCTGCTCCTGAGATGCAATTTTCATGACTTAAGGCCTGTTTTCTGCGCTTTCCTGGTTCCATTGACTGTTAAATTTGGGCTTTGAAGAAAGATAAAAATATTATGAGACAGAAATTTTTTTGTAATTATTTTACTAATGCGTATGTATAAGCCACTTGAACTTTTCTTATTACTTTGTTTAAACAAGTTCTAAGGTAGTTCAAACCATCGGTTGTTGCAACTTACAATGACAGAGACATCAATTCATCAAGAGACATGCTGTCTAGTGGTGCTACTCAAAACTGTATTTGCCTCTTTGAAAAGCTATTTAAAACTATTTAAAATCAGGAAATGCATCTTTTGCAAAGTAATTTGAAAAATATAATCATAGTAAAATTGAAATGATTAAACTGTTACATAATGTGCGTAATCAGATCAGTAAATAATTTAGATAAACAAGATATTAAAAAAAATTAAGGTCGTCTGTATGGATTTAAGCAGAATGAGCTCAACTGCATTTGTCGTTGCCAAATTTTTGCTCATGTTTTATTTTTTAAACAGAGAACTAAACTACTAAACACATTAAAACTTTGTATGAATTTGCCTTAGATGATGAAGAATTGCTTGCGAAATTTCAGGTTCCAGTGTTGCTTAGTTTTCTGTGTATAAAATAAAAGATATGCAAAACTTGGGCAACAACTCATGTAGTTAGGCATGATGCATACATACCATTTCCAGCATGAGGATCAGCGTGAACGAATCCTGTTTGAAAAATCTGTTCCGCAAATGCTTGGAATAATTTCCAGTCGATGTCCGCCAGCGAAAAGCTCTCTTTCAAAAGTGATTCCTTGTCGCTTATTTTGATGCCGTCGACAAATTCCATAGTCAACACGCGCTGTGAACGAGAGATTTAATAATTGAAAAATTTAGACGCCCCTGTTAAACAGAACATGTTTAAGACATGTTAAAACATGGACATGTCAAACAGGCTCCTATTGCAACTGCTGTCCTGTTTAGGACAAAAAACCATAAGGAAATAAGCCACAGAGGGTTCTGATTTTTGCCACAATCTCATCGAATGCTGGTAAGGAAACAAAAAATATAGAGTAAAAGGTTAAAAAGTTTCGGAAAGGAGTAAGTAAAAAAACGAAGATTCCAGAAAAAATCATATGAAATCCTTGGTTCTAGAAAAAAAATGCTTAAAAATTACTAGGTGTTTTGTGGAAGAAAGGTAAAAACCAAAACTCCAGAAAAAAGTTGTTAAAAAACCTGCATTCTATGGAAACCACTTACGAAGAAAGCTGGGTAATATGGGATTTTGAGGTCTGAGTAAAATTTGATTTCTGTTTCGTTCAGTGCATTTATAAGCGGCTATGGTGACAAGAAAAGAGGTTAAAGTGTACAATTTCTTGAAGAATTTTTCAAGAGACTTCGAAAGCTGATCATTTTCTTCCAGTTTTTCATTTTTTTTCAATTGACTAATTGTCTGTCATCCTAAATATCCTCTTTGCCCAAAATAAACTAAACAAATCCAGCATCCTAATTCAGGAAAAAAAGAGTAGGTCTACCGCATCAACAAGGAATCAACCAATTGGAAACGGTTACAAAAACGGTTTGATCAGACTATATTTTGCAATGAGCCTGTTGCAAACTTTTGCTAGAGCAAAAATAAGAAATGTTACTCACAGAAAATGGTTCAAAAATCACGATGAGCGCTTTGGCAAAGTCTGAAATGCACTCCTTACTTCACAATTTGCATGCAAAATTTGCGTTTTTTCGAGCTTCCTGCTTCAAAAACGATACCAAGGCACAGGTGAAAATTTCGAGAAGTCATTCCATCCAACCTCTGCTCACAAGGATACTATGCAATATTCAACAAAGCCGACACCAATCCGCCAAAACACATGTGACGGGACGATTATTCTAACTTCTAACCACCTGATAACAATCGAAATGTTTACACTCACATAATTTTTCTCACATTGATAGATCTCCGCCTCAATTGACCTCGTGCTCTCCTCAACTTGCGCGCGGAAGCGTTGGCCACGTTGAGCAGGGGTTGGATGGAACAATTCCTCAAACGAAATGTTCACCTGTGCCGTACTATTCTTTTCGAAGTGAGAAGCTTTAAAAAGCACAAATTTCTTAGGCAGATTGTGAAGTTAAGAGTATATTTCAGAGTTTGCCGATGCGCTCATTGTGATTTTTGAGACATCATCTATAAAGAACAACTCTTATTTTTGCTCTGGCAAAAGTTTGCAACAGGCCCATTAGGAAGATTTATTCCTTGCTTATTTAGGAAATCATTTATGAATCATTGGTTTCCTCAGGCAGATAGGTGCTTCCATGAGTGAGTTAGAGAAATTAGTTCTTTTTTGCATAATCCAGTCCAATTAGATGACATTCCGTAGGAGGGGAACCAACTTCTCTGTCTCATTGGTGCAACAACATGTGCGCAGATGATTTTTCAATGCAGATTAGTTCCTTCCTACATACATACATCAAGCCGCTTTCACAGCGCAGCCTCGCGCTCTGCGATGCCTAATCACCATTGTCCTTTACACATAATCCAGTCAAACTGAATGGTTTCCATGAAAAAGAACTAACTTATCGGCCATTGATTTCCATAGATGGATAGATTCATGTATGTTCTTCAGTTTTAGTGTCATTTTTAGTTCGTAATATGTTTCATTTATGTTTAATCAGTACAGTTTACTTACAGTGCTACTGAGATTCCATAATACTTCTGGTACATAAACAAATGGCAGGTGTGCAAGTTCTTTGGCGCATCTTTCTGCATTTCGTCCTTCATTAAGAAAATCAAGTTCACTTTCTAGGGCCCCATGCAGCTCCTACACAGAATGTTAGATTAATTTCAGCAAGAATTGTGCAGTTGGAGGTAGCATAGATTAAAGATCTGTATATGCACCTTTAATTTTATAAACCTTTAGACAAACAGAGCTGTTGTTTAACTAAAACGCCTCTCACCAGCTTTAACTGACTGCGTTTGGATGAAACTAGGCATATCACCATTCAGAGTTTCAGTATAGTCCATTTAGAGTTATAGTATGTTCCATCATATATATCATTTTTATTTCAGGGTGATTATATTGAAAGGAAAGTCTTTGTTTCATCATGAAGAGATTGGTTGAAAAAATTTAAAAATTGATGATCTTAGCAAGTTTAATGCAATGAAAAGGCAACAAATTAAAATAATTATTCAAATAAATCACAAATTTTCTACTAGAAAATGCTACGTGGGTTAAACTATAATACAATCTCACAAAATTTTATCTCCTTTCTGTGGTCCGAATTTTTATCTCTATCTCCGCAGTAAAGAACCATAAAATAACGATGAATGAAAGATTCAGTCTGACTTACATTCATGACAAACTGGAAGTCAAAAGCTGGGTACAGCCAACCTACAACCTTAATGAGTAGTTGAAGACTCGCCATGTCACCAATAAAACGATCTTGTAAGTCAATATATTGCACTTTTACCGCAACTTCCTTCCCTTCTTTGGTTTGTGCGCGGTAAACCTAAGGTATGAAAAAAAAATCAACGATCCTTGCAAATTATTTTAGTGTACAATATCAGGGAAAGGGGGGAATTCACTTTCCTACTCCATGAATATTTTATAATTTTAGTGTTTATGAGATAAGAAAAATAACAATCTGAAAAAATTAAGGAAAATCAACAAATGCCTTGTGCTTATTTTGAGTTTGGTAACGTTGCAAATGACAAGGGGTAATTTTTTTAACTGGCACCAGCAGATTATTTTGATAGGTTATTCTTAATTTCAAAGAATTTCCACAAAAGGTAAATTAAAAAAGTTTTCTTGATTTGCATATTTTTATTTTCACTTTGAAAACCGTAAAGGTAAAGGAGGAGAGTAGATCCAACTGCCACTCAGAAGATTGAGATCAGCAAGCTGATGATTAAAATTGATGAACAAAGTCATGAACAAAGAAAAAATAAAGCAATCCTATTGGTGGAAGTGGGTGGTTGTAGTAGACGAAGAATGTAAGTGATGGATTACCTAACGACAACCCATGATTTCTTCACCTTATAGTTGCTCTATCATATTTTCCCTTAGTTTATGATAATCACCCATTTCAACTAAAAGGATCACTCAACTTTCCCTTAGTCTCCTTTGTCTATCGCTTTATTCATCAATTTCAATAATCAGCTCACAACAGAGGATTTTGACTCCCTCTAGCTCTAGGCTGCTTATTTCTTCCTTTTAAAAATGGGTTTTTCGCAGAACTTGCCAAAAGAATTTTCTGTTTCTTTGTTCATCAAGTTACCTTATCGACACCCCTTTCACTGCTTTTTATATTTTTGCTAATAGGTTTTATTTTACTTACTCATTCCAATAATAAATGAAGATACCTGAGCAAGGCTGGCAGCAGCTATTGGTTCTTCATCAAACTTTTCAAACACTTCACTCGTTGATTTGTCAAAATCTTCCTTCAGAAGTTGCTCGATTTCACCTTTCTTGCGTGCTAGACATCTATCTTGCAAAGCCTGCAAAATCGAGTGAGTGAGTGATTACAATAAAGCAACAACGAAAATACGAAAAAACACGTACCTCAATGGGCCTGTTGCAAGGTGCGGGGATTTGCAAATTGATGCCTGATTCTTATGGCAAATTTCACGAAAAGAACGATGGCGCTACTAAAAAACCTTGAAATGACCTCTCAAACTCCAAAAAAAGCTGTTTTTGGAACCGACCCATTCAAAACGGTCGCTTTTCAACCGCCATACTTGTGATTGGTGGATTCTATGCTTGTGACTACTTGTGACGTGAAATGATATGACAGACCTGGTTTCTTCATCACTTACAATGTATTTTCCCGTAAGGAAATGGCAGCCGCTTTTCAAATGCAAATATCGAGTCAATCGCTAATTTTTTGATCAAAATTGAAAGCAGAAATGGATTCCTCGTACGTTTAAATGGTTAAAACCTTCATTAGATAAATAAGAACCGACGGGATAAACCCTATTTTTAAGGAAGACTGTAGTCAATGGGCGATTGTTTACATCTGCTTAGTGATAACAGACATGGACATTAGCTCAATATTTGGCCATTTTCATGAGTTTTTACTTGTTTGTCACTATTTGAAGGTAAGTTTATTTTGTAAATCAATTGTCTAGTGTCTTAGGATCATGTTAAAAGCTGTAAAGGTATACTTTGTTACTTATTTATTCAGAACACACTCCGGCAGTCCAACGCTCAAACCCTGGATGTCCTCTCAATGCGTGTAAATCATTCTTAACTCTTCAACAAACATCTCAATATCATTCAGAACGTTCCCACGTTTTATAAACTTATGTTATTTTAAAATCCTGTGTGTTTTAAATGTAACACTATACAGAAAAATTTATCGATGAAGTCTGGTAATCGAAGAAGGATCCTACGTCTACTTTCCTTGCCTCCAGCTAAAACATACCGGTCTCCTCATCTCATCAGTATTGTCAAAGGTAAGTTTTTTTTATCATCAATGATTGATACTATCATTTTGGTGTCTTCAGTGAAGCATTAAAGGGTGAAATAGTAAGATATAACAACTGACTCGCTACATCCAGGTTTGAGCGTTGGACTGCCGGAGTGTGTTCTGAATTAATAAGTAACAAAGTAGGTATACCTTTACAGCTTTTAACATGATCCTAAGACACTAGACAATTGATTTACAAAATAAACTTACCTTCAAATAGTGACAAACAAGTAAAAACTCATGAAAATGGCCAAATATTGAGCTAATGTCCATGTCTGTTATCACTAAGCAGATGTAAACAATCGCCCATTGACTACAGTCTTCCTTAAAAATAGGGTTTATCCCGTCGGTTCTTATTTATCAAATGAAGGTTTTAACCATTTAAACGTACGAGGAATCCATTTCTGCTTTCAATTTTGATCAAAAAATTAGCGATTGACTCGATATTTGCATTTGAAAAGCGGCTGCCATTTCCTTACGGGAAAATACATTGTAAGTGATGAAGAAACCAGGTCTGTCATATCATTTCACGTCACAAGTATGGCGGACCCGAAACGACCGTTTTGAAAATCCAAATTCTGAGGCGTTTTTAAGTTGATTTTTTGGGGGTTTCCGGTGATCAAAAAACTCCGGGAAAATTCCTGTGACATCAGGAGCCTTAAATCTTTCGATTAAAGCAATAAAAAAAATTGGTGCAACAGGCCCATTGAGCTGCTTCAAATTTTTACTTCTTCATTGTATTCTGAAGAAAGTACCACATTTTTGCACAAAATTTTCGAGGATGATTCTTGAGAGGTTTTTTTGCAGGATTGAAAAAAATCTGAGAAAATCTCAAGAAGCTCAGCTACCTCCCTACTTTCAGAAAATGAATTAAGAAAATGGGTGCCGCAGACCCATGTTATAAATTTCCTCATTGGCTTTGATATTATTGTTTTTGATTTAAAATTTTTTTTAACTGTGAATTTCATTGTTTCATAAAACTTTTTTAGACAGTGCTTACCCTCAACGTGTGGATGTAAGGAGCAGGTAAGATATGATCCATACACACCAGACTTTGTCCAAGTTTAATAAAAAGGCCACCATTCTTCAAGCAGCCTTCGAGGATACGCTCCGCTGTTCGCTGGTGAAAAGCAGTAAAAAGCTCTCGGTATTCTTCATGCGCTTCATCGATGTTCTTCAAGGACCATTGATAATCTACAATCGTTCTTGTCGCTACATTGACACACCTGGAATAAGACAGAAAAACCACTCTCAGCCATGCAAGTGAAAAAAATGAATGGCTGCATAAGAAATTTGCACATCCGCTGATTTTAGGTATTAATTGCTTGTTCACAACACTGACGCACCTCATTTAGCCAAAGAAAACCATTGGAATACTTTTCATGATTGGCACCTGATGTTCCATTTAAAACACATTGCATAAACGTTGCTTTTACATGGAAGGACTCTGAACATGAAACAGATGTATCCAGCACAGACTGAGTGTTGTAATTACTTCTTTCTGGCCTCCTGAGCAGAAAAAGCTTTACAAATCGAATTGCTAATCTGCAAATTTTGAGAAAAAGTGGCTGAAAAGGGAATTTATCAGGCATTTGGCACACGTCACTCTAGAAATCCTGGAGCCTGGCCCGGTAATTTAGGCAAGCTCTTTCTTTCTTGCCAGCTAGGAAAATAAGAGAGACAAAACGACGAAATTCCTTCAGATAACGACAGCCCAAGGCCACATCTTCATAAAGGAGCACAAATGAAAGAGTGGGAGGACTCAAATTACAGCCCTCCTTTCCTCAAAAATTACTACTTGGAAAGTTAAATTTGTAGAGCTTGTTTTGGTCAGGAGGTCCTAAAGCACATCTTATCAAACACCTATGAAATTTAGCCGCAGTGAATTTTTAAATTCAATTTCAGGTGATGCGCAATGATGCCACTGCTTTTGTCAACTTGTCAAGAAACGATGCCAAGGTTTAGAAAAGCTCCTCAAAAAAACCTGCAGCTAATATTTAAAAACTGGAACTTACACCAGATTGGACAGAGTACTAATTTTTAGGAAACAGGACGTAACGATGAGCCCGATACAGGGAGTGCTCGTTGAGAGAGAAAGGTGGCAAAAAATTTCAATGGAAATTTTTGAAATGTATGAAACAAGATTGGAGACTTACTACAAAACAATCTAAGATAGGATTTTTCTACCTTATCCTTTGACATGTTGCAAGAAAAAGTTCATCATATTAATCAAACTTGATTCTAGTACTTCTCACCTGTTCTGTTATCTTCTTGATTTTCCTAATGCATTACATCAATAATTGCTATATTTAACTGGTGTGTAGCCACTTGTTAGTTTTAGTAACTACGTACATTTTCTTACAGGGTAACACTGTTTGATTCAGTGAGACCGAGTAAGTAATTAATAAAAAACATCACTTTTATACTTCCTCTCCTCTCCAGCTCCGGCATTCCAATAGTAAAGATACATTGCAATAATAAAGATGCATTGTTACCTTAGGAGTCGAAAAATTCCTCCAATGGAAACTCGAACAAATCTCTGATCCTGTTCAGAGAGAAAGAAAAACCCGATAGCTGGAACTACAGTCAAAGAACCACATGTGATAATCAATCCCAAGTTACGTCTGGTTGGATTCGACTTGCCAGAGTGGAACTTGAGCGCATTTCGATGGACAACACTGGAGACCGACAATAACTGCTTCAGTCTCATTATTCAGATGTCTGCAACTAGAACTGATCACTGAAAAAAGGAATGAATCCTGGAATGCTTGTTTGTCATCTAAATAATTTGAACATCCTACGGCACTAATGATGGAAGTGGTGAGATAAATAATTGATGAAACACCGGTGAAGAGGTACTCACATGATTTTGATGTAAAAATCTCGGAGAATTAGGAGAAAAACTGATCATATTTTGAAATTCCTAATAATCAGACCGATTTACAACTGGTATTGCTGATAACAACAATGTGACATAACCTTTCCAAAATATTATGAGCTTCCCTCATGACATAGTTGCCAAATTGAATAGATTGCATCATTACGCACGCAAAGGCCCGAAAATTTGGCATTCATGGCCATCATTACGCAAAGGAGGAATTTTTGGTGAATTTCATACAAATTGAAGGTTTATTTAGTGAACAAATCAGGCGCTGATCACCTATGCACGAAAACCTGAGAATGCAATGTCAGGAAAGTTCGTAGGGTATTAAATAAAAATGAACCTGTAAGATTTTAAAAACTTAAGGAAACTTCAAGTCACATTTAAGAAGCTGACGGCTGAAAAACACACTTTGGAAATTTCGAAAAAATAAAAAATATAAAAATTCTGAGTCGAATTTCGGGTTGTCTCGTCACACATTTGATTTTGTCACTAGTTGCATACTCAGCTCCAGCAAATTTCTTGTCATGTGATAAGCTTTTTCCAACCAAACCAACAGAAAGAAGGTTACGTTTTAATCTTGTGCGTAAATTCAACTGTTACGCATCGTACGTGTTTTACACGATTTTCATCTCTCGACGGACAATTCGGACAATAATAAAAAGCATTAGAGCGTAATTACACACACTGCGGCAACACCGCAGCTTCGTTGTTAGGAAAGTAGCGCTCCCTAGCGACCAAAGCTCGACTTACGATCTAACACGCAACATCATTGGTCTCTGGTTTATTGGTCGCGGCCAAGCCAATGAAAAGTCCTGTTACAAAATGTAAACAAGAACAAGCGCTGTTGCAAACATGTCCAAAAAATTATTTATGTCTTAAACGCATGCATTATGAAATTTCTGAATTAATCGTGCCATCCGGCAACAGTAAAACAAAACAAGCCTCATCAGCTGTCCACCGAAGTTGCCATCTTCGCTCTGCACAGCAGCGAAGAAGGGGTTCGCTCGGGGCTTTATCCGTTATCAATCGTTTCGTTTTTGTGGAAATTTAAGTTTATTAAGTGATTCTATTTATTTGGACGTATCTCTAGCGGTAAGTCGATCTCTTACTCTACTATTTACCCTTCGTTATCATCTATTTTATCTTCTTTTTCTGATATCAGCTCTTCTCTAACAAAGAACAGCTGATCGCGAAGTCCTTTGTTTATGTACACTGAAGCTTTCTGTCAAAAAGCTTCCCTTGTTCCGTTCGCTGTGTTTTTCGTTTTACCTTGTGTTAGGAACAAAATATTAGTTTCAACGAAGCATTTTAGTCTCGTCCCTTTGTTTCTCTGTGATATCCATTCGCGCACACCCTTAATAACTACTTTGAAGGTAGGATTCATTAACTTTTTTGTTCACTTCAGTCCCAACTCTGATCATCTATTACTGAGGATCGAATCGAGAGTTTGGTATTAGCATTCCATTTTTACATGTTTGTCTCTGTTCAGTATTAGTTTCACCACCATCCCTGCCTCAATTATTGCTTTTAAAGGTAGGGTAAATGCATTCTTCTTTTCAGTTTGGTCTCCACTCTGATTATATTTTCTTAAGTATCCAAAGGGATTATCTCAAAAGAGCATTTCAGACTTCGTTCTGGTGTTTCTATTTAATATCAGTTCGAAAGTGGCTCCCAACTTCCTTCGGTAACTGCTTTTAAGTGCAGCATTTCAATTCTTCTGCTTAGTTAGTTGTTTCTCTATTAATCCTCAGTCTGGATTTACTCAATTCATAGTTTGAAATGAGCATTTCAGATTTCGTCCCTCTGTTTCTTGTCAGTACTAGTTTTGTTGTGACCCTTAATTTCCAAGAGCCTGTTTCAGATTATTTGTTCTCTCATCCTGTATGTGCAGGCTACGGAATTCCATATCCAGCTCACACAGCCAAAAAGGACAAGTTATCTAAAGCAGGCCCTTCAATTACCTACTTCTCTTGAAGGGAGAATATACATTTTTTTGCTCAGAATAGTCCATTCTCTGATTTTCATTTCAATAGAATCAAATTCATGGTCTAGTGTAATCACTTCAGTTTTGTCTCCCTGTTTCTAGTTATTAAATATCACTCAGTTTCATTGTGATCCTCAACTTCCCCAGTATAACTGCTTTTAAAGGTAGGATTGAATAATAAGTTTTGAATAAGCTATTATTAGTTTTCACGGAACGATACTGTTTAATAGCAGTATGATTGCGAGCCCTAACCTCTTCAGCAACTAGCTTTATCGGTAGGATAAATTAATGATTTTGTTCAGCTAGGTTTCCATTTTAATCATTTTGCCATTAGACAGATACCTGTAGAAATAAGGATATGCGTAAAGGCCCATAGGGTTCTCGGAGCCTCTTTGTGGAGAACAGCTTTCCTAACTCCTCATATCCTGAAGAATTTTTTATCACAGTTCGATAGTTCTTCATCAAAATTAAGTTTGTGATTTTAGTGGAAGCAAATTAATTATTTTTGGACCTATCCATCAAAACATTAGCTTCTTATCATCACAGGATGGAGGATGGTGTTTATTTAACAATCATCCGCACCCTAAGTATCCCGAAGTTAATAGTTTTAAACACCTCTTCTTTTGTCACTTCCAATTTGCCAAAAAAATGTACTTAGCTAATATTTTGAACTATGGTCTTGCACAGTAAAATACAATGGTTTCACAGGAATTTTCAAGTTTGATGCTGGGTTTTTTCTTTTTAAAAAAAAAAAATTAAAAAAAATTGTAATTAGGTACCTAGCACTTTCATTTAAGTATGTCATTCTGTGCCGAAAGATCCTACCTACTCTAGCCTTTGTATCTCTTTTATACTTAAAACACACCTATCTTTAAGTGCTGGATTCCAATTGTGGAAGCATCAGTTCTATGATGAATATGATAACTTTGTTATGACTTACTTTTATGTTTAAAGTTTCTCTCTTAAAAATCGAAATTAAAAACTTTGAAAGCTTTTTTCTCAAAATACAATGTTCAGGCCGAGGGCTCTCTAGCACCTACCTGCCTCCTCATTCCAGTTTTGTCTCTGCGTTTCTCTTCGATATTAACTGTCAGCGACAGTTGCCCATATTAACAACTTTTGAATGTAGGCTAAATTAATTTTTCCGTCCAGTCTTGTCCCTTTTCTGGTACCTAATTTATTTAATTAGCTGGATTTGACCACAATTAGGTAACTTTCCTGCATTTCTCATTGCCCTAATACCTCACTTTTACGTAATTTTCCCCCTGTTTTCATGGAAAAACTGAGCAACAAAACACATTGAAACTTCCTAAGAATTTCTCTAAGAGTCTGAAGAGTATCCTCGCAGTATTTCAAAGTAGAGTTTTGTTAGATCCAAAAGCTTGCCAGGTCGTGCGATAAAATGTGGATATTTTAAGTGGATTTCAAATGGAGAAACGCATCAATTTCTAAGCATTCTTTGACACCAACGATTGCCAAGTTAAGCGATGAAGTGTGTATATTTTACATGGGTTTAAATGGGGGAAAGTGTCGATTTCTCAGCACTATCTGGCACAAATGGTTGCCAAGTTGTGAGCTGAAACGTGAAAATTTTACATGGGTTTGAATGGGAAAAAGAGCTGATTTCTAACACTATCTGGCAACAATGATCGAAAAAGGCACAGGTAAGAGAATGCTCAAAGAATCTTTTATTAAAGAGCCAGCAGAAAATTCCTACTCAATCCGAAGTTACGAAGATTTAAAGTTTTTTTTTTTTTTTTTTTTTTTTT